ATTTTCTCATCATTCTCTTTAAAGTGTTATCTACAATACCGTTTGCTGTATTAGGCGCATGTATTTTTCCAACCCTTTTATAGACGAAAAGGTTGGGAACTTTCCCGTGCGCATGCTAGTTATCTTGGTGAAAGTTGCCAAACTATTGGAGATCAAAAAGAAGCTCGTGAAAACGTTGACCGAATTGAACAACGAAGCAGAGAAGGAAAGCATCCTCACCGATGTCTACACAGCTGTGTTTCAAGTAAGCCTTATTTGATTTTTGGTTTGCTTCTCCATTAGTAACTTCAAAGTTTGAGAAGAAGTATGTAGGCAGTTTTGGGAACTTACCAGGAAAGGCATTCAACTTCCCATGGAACTTTGAGATGAGACCCAGATATATCGATAGAGCTTCAAACGCTGATTACAAATATGGAAACTAAAACTGCAAAATGAACCTGCCAAGGAAGTTGTGAGCAGTCAAAGTTGGCTGGAAGTAAAGCATTACACTAGCCTCCAGGCTTTCAAAGTCGCCGTGGAGTAGTGGTAGTGCTCTCGGAATTTGCACTCCAACGGGAGGAGAGCTTATGACCTCCAGGGTGAATAGCGAGGGCACCACCACTGCTCCGCGGCGACTCTGAAAGCCCAGCACGGTTCATGTGATGCTTTACTTCCAGCCAACTTTGACTGCTCACAACTTCCTTGGCAGGTTCATTTTGCAGTTTTAGTTTCCATATTTGTAATCAGCGTTTGAAGCTCTATCGATATATCTGGGTCTCAATTCAAAGTTCCATGGGAAGTTGAATGCCTTTCCTGGTTAGTGAACAACTGTCGTGTCAAATGAAAATGGAAAGAGGATCAAGCCAGTGATTTGGGCGTTGGTCATTTCCCCTCTGTTATTTCCACACATTCTGTTTCCATGCAAGATCCTAGTTGCATTTAATGCGGTATGGGCGATACAATTGCCTTTCGAAGCTATATGCGATGACGAGCTGCAGGAGGCCACTTCAATCAGTGCGTTTATCATCTCATAAAGGTCTCTTACTAGATACCCCACGGAATGGAAGGCTTGATTTGCCTAAACGGTGTGCGATCGAGGATTTGGTCCCGATCATGCAAGCAGCATCACTTGCCTCTTCACCACTTTACCCGTGTTGTATGAAATATTGGTAAAACTCGCTTTACCGGAATCATCAGTCTGTTGATGACGACCTCGCATTGTTCAGTCGTCATGCATTCTATTCAGCCTTGTGACCTCTCAACTTCACATGTTTTTTTTCCTTCGTGCCCTCTATAAGATTGCAATTCCGATTTATAATACATTACTACTTTCCACGAACTAGTAGCATTTCCACCTCCCTCAGGAACGATACGCACGGACTGTTGTCGATCTGGAGACGGTTAATCGACAGGTTAACATCTACTTAAATGGCATTCAAGAATATAACACTCAACTATTACCGCATCTCAGTGAGGTGAAGTGCCTACTTTTTTTTTCTTTCTATTGTTTGTTTTCTTGAATATGTGCTTCAGGTTAGCATAAGTGCTCGCCCAGAGGCATTACGTCGGATGTGCGCTTCTCATGCCAATCAAATAGTGAAACATTGCAACCAGAGTTTGAACGTTACTAATCCTCAAGCCCTACGCCTCATAACAGCGTTAACGTCACTTCTCCTTCAGGTTTGTGTGATGGTCTGAACGTTCTTGAAAAGTTTCACTTCTCTATCTTGTAATTAAAAACATGGTGTTTCGATTGGTCTATGTGTGTTTGTGTATATTTGCTGTCCTGCCCGCGAAATTTCCCTCCCATTTTAGATGTTATAAGGTCTTTGGGATAAACCAATGACAAAATTGGGAGCTCACAGGAGTTGAATCA